AACTTTAGCATGTGATGAAGATAAGAAGATGTAAATATGAAGAACACCTGCTCGGCAAATATCTTCCCATTGATATCTAATAAGTCTGCTCGTTCCATTCCAGGTCCTCGAGGCTTTGCTCCAATCAGCAGAGCCCATTCAGCATCTTGAAACACCTCATATGGATTTATTCCAATACTTACCTCCCTCAGCAAAGGAAACAATGAATCTTCAAGTTCCATTGCCACTCCTTCATGCACAAAAGTATCATTTCGAGATAATGATATGTCAGTTAAACTATTGAAGAATCTCCGATGGCATAATTGGAAAGAACTCCAGGAAGAATTTAGATCTGCTTGTATAATATACTGGCTTAGATATACACACTGTAAACTGAATCTAAATCCTTTGCTTCTTCATCTTTGAAACTACATGCAGTTACACAAATTCTAAATTTCTAATATAGAAATTGATTAAAGAGCATACCTTCAAGAGCCTGGAATGACCTTTCAGATCCCAATAACTTCAGTGTGACTGGCTGATCTGGTCCAAACACCTCACCAGATGCAATCTAGAAAAATGCAAATTAGCTACTAATCCAAGATAAATACGTGAGCATATGCTGTGAATTTGAATGCAACTCTGAAATTGAGCATGGAGCTTGATCTCCTTATCCTGTAAACTTTAGATATAGTCAGGTACTAATCCAAGATAAACATATGGGCATCCCTACCTTGGTTTTTTACTTTCCATGGTACTTGACTTAAATAGACATTTTGTCTGGAATAGTCAGGATTATAAATGTGGATTAACGGTTTCAACAGCTAGAAAAGAACAAGCATATGAATAGGATCTTTAGCGGAGAGGACAAAAAATGGGTATTGAACTTATGAACATAGATTAGTAAATTACTTTAAAAAGAAGATGGTTGGAGATCATTCCAGCAGCACCAGAAACTGCAACATTTATTAATTTCTTCCATGACTTAGTCTTCGTCTCCTCTTCCTGTTAATCACCCATCACCAAAAAATAAAAATAAAAATAAAAAAATAAAAAAGAAGAAGAAGAAGAGAGAGAGAGAGATTAGGTTGATTGATTAAGCATAATTTAATAATTCTCTCAAAGTACACAATTTTTAGTTCTAATTGAGTACAGAACTATTGAAAATAGCACCCATTTTCTCAATGATTAAACTCTGTTCAATAAATAAATCATGCAAATCAACAAGCATTCTGGATGCATTAGTAGAAAAAACAAATCTCTACACCCATTTTCATGAAACTGAACAGAGCCCACGTAAAACTAGTTCCATGGGTGAATTAATCAACCCAAATCACTTCATAATTCAACGGTTCAGAAAATGTAGATAGAAAACTTCAATGAAAAAAAAAATTAAGGGAAAAAAGGCATACAGCTCTGAGATCATAAGTGAGGCAGAAGACACCAAAGCAATCATTTTTGCCCTTAGGTTCCTCTGCTTGTACTGCGATCGGGGCTTGTAATTGACTGACAAAGAGACCCATAAAATTATTAAGCATTAAAATGCAAAATCTTTGTTAAATTTAAGAACTTTGAAAGACCCAAGTGAAGACTAACGTGGGAGCAATAGAGCATGAGATCCTGGCGTTTCGAGTTCCGGGAAGCGGTCGGAACCTACGGCGACAATAGTGAGAGAAACGGGTGGATGAAATAGAGAGCTGCGAGGACTGCAGACGGGTCGTGGTCCAGGTAAATGAAGGTGATAACTCTGCCACCGCCATAGTAGCAGAGCTCTCAGCAGAAAAGAATTTCAAAGAAAAAGTAGATAAATTTCAGAGAAACAGAAACAGAGTGTATTATACAAAGATTTTTCCTTCTTTCCGAGAAGGTGAGTAGCAATGCTCTGACGGAGGGAGAGGAGAACGAGGGAGAGGAGGCGGAGGGTGGTTTTGAAATAGCAGTGCAAGGCCATGCCATGCACACTTGTCAATATATGTCATCCACAATTCCCATTTTCTCTTCTCTCTTGGTTCTTGGGTAAAAACAATTAAGGTAAATTTAAGAGTTAAAAAAAATTAAGAAGTTAAAATCGTGATATCATATTAAAAATATTTTTAATAAATTCTTTTGCTAGTTAATTATTAAGAATATTTCAGTTATTGCACTTGAATTTCGTAACTCAATGGTTTTACATCTATCATAAGATGTATTTCTTTAATTTTAAAATTCA